CTGAGAGGACAATGGTGGAGACAGGATTGCGGCGTGGCCTCCCGGGGGTGACTTCTCACTTTCTGTCTCTTGGTGACTTACGCCTGCCCTATAGCAAAAATCTCTCTTTACAAAAAGAAAAAGTGAGAACTCAGCCCCTGGGGGTGGCGGCCATGCTGCAGTCCCGTCTCTTCCATTCTCGGGTCTGGGCCACACATGCACACCCAGAGTGGTTTTCAAACTGCCAGGTCTGGGACTCGAACCGTGGCTGGCCATGTGGGATCTTAGCCACCATGCCACCTGCTGGTCCTGACCCAGTCATGAAAAAGAACAGCAGAGGTGTGAGTGGCATTCCAGGGAGGCTGGGGTGGGGACAGGGGGCAGGCCCAAGTGACATCGGAGCTGGCCACGATGCCGGGAGTGAGCCCCGCGGCAAAGGCCTTCGGGGCAATGAGCACAAGCAGGCACTAAGGCCCCGGGCAGGGACGGGGAGGCCACGCGGCGTGCAGGGTGGGAGGACAGCCACCAAGTCCACCCTGGGGTGCAGACCGCCCAGACAGCCCGCTCCCGCCCTGCCGGGCTGCAGGCGGCTGGGTTAGGGGCCCCCGGAGCTCAGGACAGCTTTAAGGTAGGATGCCACCAGGGCGGGAGGCGGGGCGGGCAGGCCGGCCATCTGGCCCCTCTGCCCTGTCCAGGGGCTCAGCGCGGGCAGTGACCTAGAAAACCGCTGGTGAGGAGGAAGGCCGACCCCCTCCGGCGGCCGGGCTGTGCGCGTTCCTGGCACGCGGCCCCCAAGTCGGGATCTAGCGGCGGCTCTGTTGTCACTGTCGGGACCCTGGCCCCTCCCCGCGGACCGCGACTCCATGTGGAGTGTTTCGCAGCGTTCCGATGGCTGGATCCCCCACACATGGGCACCTCGGTTAGTTCCCCTCGCCACAGGCCCGCTGTCGGCACGGGCACAGCTGTGGCTGGTCTGTCTGAGCCCCGGTAGACAGCCAGGTCAGACCCTCTGTCCCCCGCCGGTGACTTCAGATGACAGGAACAGGCTCCCTGGGTCTCCAGGGCAGAACGCTGAGCCCTAGGGGAGGGGCTCCCTGTCCCCCACTCCTGGCCGTCCTGTGTCCCTTGGCTGGCAGACACGTCTCCAGGCCTGCCTCCGACCCCATGTGGCCTTCTCCTGTGTCCGTGTCTGCATCCAGATTACCCCGTATCAGGACACCAGGCCCTGGGTCAGCCCACCCCACCGCGGTGTCACCCCAGCAACCGTCTGTGGGCGTGACTCCCGCCTCGGG